GCCCCAATATAACAGCGCACGAACCACAGACTCTAGACCAATAATGGCAGAGTCACAACTGGCAGCGCCAGTAACCACAAGAACCCAAGCCAAAATAAAACCACAACTGGACAGCCAAACTGGGATTGAATTCAGAAAAAGTTTGGAAACAGATGAATGGTTCCAGAAAAACAAACATGTGTGCACAATGAGAGACGGGTTGCCTTGGGTAGGGGAAAAGTTATATATACCAACAACTCAAAGAGTAACTTTCATGCAGCTTTGCCATGACACAAAATCAGCAGGGCATTTTGGATTTGTAAAAACTTTACACTTAATTAAACGGCAATTTTGGTGGCCATCAATAAAAAAGGACATAGAAAGTTATGTTGCCAGCTGCCCAACCTGTGCATCAGCAAAGAGGTTGCAAGGGAAATCGCCAGGGCTATTACAACCAGTGGCAAGTCCCTCAGCCCCCTGGAGGGAAATAGCCATGGATTTTATAGTGGAATTGCCAGAAAGCAATGGGAATACTGTTATCTGGACAGTCACGGACTTGTTTTCCAAACAGGTGCACTTTATCCCTTGCCAAAAGATTCCCACTGCAAAGGCCTTAGCAAACTTTTCATCCAGCACATTTACAGATTGCACGGGGCACCCCAACGCATCATCTCTGATAGGGGAGTGCAATTTACGTCTGCATTTTGGAAGGAATTTTTATCCCTCTTAGGGACCACTCAGGGACTGACATCTAGCCATCACCCTCAGACAGATGGACAAACAGAACGGTGCCATTCAGTACTTGAGCAATATTTGAGATGTTTTTTAAATTTCCAACAGAGTGATTGGACGGACTTACTTCCTTTTGCAGAAGTTGCCTACAATAATGCAGTCCACTCCAGCACAGGCTACACTCCTTTTCAAATAGCCAACGGTCAAAGTTTCAACCCCATGCCAGAATTAACCCCAAACGAACCAACGATCCCTTCGCTGAAAGAATGGATGGAGAAATTACAAAACACCTGGCCAATAGTCAGAAAAGCACTAGATGAAGCTAGGCAGGCATACAAAACACAAGCCGATAAAAAAAGGGTTGAGCCTACACCATTCATTATAGGAGAAATGGTGTACTTATCTACAAAATACCTAAAGTCCCTACAGCCCTGTAAAAAACTTGGACCAAAATATATAGGACCTTTTCCAATTAAAAGAATCATAAATCCAGTAACAGTAGAATTAGAATTACCCAAAAATCTCAGGCAAATACACCCAATTTTTCATTGCAGCTTGCTGAAAAGAGAGCATCAATCACCTCTACGGCCAAAAATCCCCCCCCCACCACCTCCAATCATGGTGGAGGGCGAACAACACTTCGAAATAAAAGAGATCCTTGACTCTAGGAGATATCATGGAGCAACTCAGTACCTAGTTGCCTGGAAACACCTCCCTCCCTCACAAAACGAGTGGGTCCATAAACGTCATGTCAGAGCCCCGAAGCTATTGAAGAAGTTTCACACAGAGTATCCTAACAAGCCTGACTAAGTCTTATACCTGTTTTGTTTTCTTTCAGGTGAATCTCTCTTATTTTTAAGAGGGGCCGGATGTCAGAATCCAATTATATTTCATCTTTAATTATCAAATATAGAAACTCCCAATTCTGCCTTCTCTGGATTCTGCCATAAGAGGGAGAGAAGGGGGAGAACAAAGGGGCTTTATGGCCCTCACTTCCTTCAGTACACTTCAAAGAGCTGAATGCTGAATGTGTGTTTATTGTAACCTCAAAGTGTTAGCATACCAAAGAAGGGTATTTGCCTTTCATGTAGTTATCTGAAGTCTCCATCCAGACGGAAGAAAGAAGAAAGGGGGTGGAATTGTGATACTTGAAACTATCACTGGAAGGGGGGTTGATTGGGTGGGACTACTGGGGAACCCCTTAAAACCTTGAATGGGAGAGCTTGAACCCCAAGTCCTGTCTAGCATGCCTGCAACCATTTTCTCTTAATAAAGGATTCCTGTTGGAAGAATTATTCCAAAGAGTTCTGTCTTCTTAAGATGCAAAGTGGGTCCTTACACAATCTATAAGTAAGGAGAAATATCCAGACAGTAGGAACAATTAATTGGTGGTATGGCTTTTCTTCAGAAGTTGTGGGTGTTCCATTGCTGTAGGTTTTCAAGAAGAAATTGGACAATCATTTGTCCAGAAGAGTATAGAGTCTCCTGTTCGAGCAGGAGGTTGGACTAGAAGACCTCCAAGGTCCCTTCCAACTCTGTTAATCTGTTTTTTAAAAAGTTGACATTTGGCCCAAAAAGTTATCCTGTTTGAGAATCTTCTACCTGAGTACCTGAGGCATAGAATCTCATAAGCATTTCTCCCCCTTAGCTGCAGAATATAACAAAATATGTTATAAAGCTAAGCATTTCTGCTCTTTCATATCATCTAAATTCTATGCAACTGTTTCATTCAGACTAATGATCAGATCAGCCTGTCTTACACACTAATCTCTGTGTATGCTTTAGCTCAGCGGCAGAGAATGTGTTTGCCTAGAGAAGATCAGAGGAAACCTCGGAGAGACATTTTAATGATTTGGCAGTAAATAAACCAAAGATTGGACTGGATCAACGGGTGTGGGTGATAAGCAGAGGCAGAGTTCAAATTAATTCTCCCAGATCACTTATGTCCTATAGATTGACCAAGATAATTGGTGGAAATACTGTATATTCTTCCTATCTAGTGAGTAGAACAGAGATAAAGTTCTAGGTTAGCCCCCCCAAAATAGGATTTTCCACATTCTCATAATAAGGTATGATCAATGAATCAATAAATACCGTATATGTCGGCGTATAAGGCTTCCGCGAGCGCTGAAATCGGCGCCAAAGATGGGGGTCGTCTTATACGCTGAGTTGTCTTATATGCCGGAAATACTGGTAGTTTCCGGCGTACAAGACGACGTTCTAGGAATGCGGCTCGGCGATAAAGACGGGGGTCGTCTTATACGCCGGGTCGCCTTGTACGCTGGCATATACGGTAGTCATCCAAACAAAAGTAAAGCTTAGCATGCTATGTGGATGCAGCTATTAGGTCCTTAATGGATTGGGTTAAGTATTTATTAATTTATATCCCATCTTTATTATTTTTACAAATAATTTTCGATATCATATATCCACATGACTCCCTTCTATTTTCCCCACAACAATAATCCTGTGAGGTGGGTTGGGCTAAAAGAGAATGACTAGTCCAAGGTCACCCAGCTGGCTCTCGAGGCTAAAGGAGAACTTGAACTCATGATCTCCGGCTTTCTAACCTGGTGCCTTAACCACTAGACCAAACTGGCTGTGGTTTTGTGCAAATATAGCTAGCCAGCTCCATCAATATACATAATCAATCTGTTGTCTTTTCTAATGATTCCGGTAGCACACAATAATCTTAACTGAATTACAAAAATCATCATTGAGGGATATTTTAGAACAAAGGAACCAAAATAAAACTCTAGCTTGGCATTGCTAAAATCTAAGATGTGTCATTAGAAGTCCAGTTGAATCCAGTTAAGTTCTGTCCTCCCCCTGTTTCTAAATGGGGCTCCAATCTTACAGATCAACAGCCTTACAGGTCAACAACTTCAACCCCCAAAGTCAAAAAGCTTACTTAGCTCAGTGCAAGCCATGGTTGATATCTGAACTCAGACAGCTCAAACAGAAACTATGAGTGGCAGAATTCAGTAGCTTTGAATTCCTGGTTTATAGGAACATTACCCCCAAATAGGGTCATGTTCTCCATTCTTCCATCACCATCCCTCTCCTTCCCTCTGCCCAGTTATCTCTGATAAACAACAGAGTACCAGGGGAACTTGTGTATGTTTATGCTTCAATTTATGGGCTGGGATTTTTTTTGGCTATAAACAGCTTTCAAAGTGGTTATGATAAAATCATAAAGAATTACAACATCACAAAAGCAGTTACTAGGAATATAATGAGACTGGCAAAATTTCTGAACCTAATTTTGGGAGGGGAAAAGGCACAAGAGTCCTAGTTTCCAGGGGGGGAAAACCCCTAAATAGTAACAGATTCTGTCTAGTGAATCAGCAAAATGTGGGAGAAGATTCCATTCTTGACATCAGTTTGGCCTTTACTGGCAGAGATGGAGCTATTGGAAGATCCTTGACCAGCTGTTACATCTTTGCCTTGCTACTGTCCTCTGGCTGGCTCAGTTCCTGGATTTCTGTTTTGTTCTGTTATTGGTTAATTGAAGCAGCCTTCCCCAGCCTAGTATTGCTGACCAAATATGTTGGACTACAACTTTCATAATTCCTAGCCGCTCTATTTGGGAGGGGACAATTTGGGAGAGTCCTTTCTTGTGTAAGGATACCCTCAACCCACTTTTGTCTTTGACTTACAACAGTGCATTTAGTGACTGTTCAAAGGTCACTACAACAGCACTGAAACCAGTGACTTATGACCATTTTTGACACTTATGGCTGTTGCAGCATCCCCATGATCATGCGATCAAAATTTAGATGCTTGGCAACTGGCATGCATTTATAACTGTTGCACTGTCCTGGGAGTGATGTGACCACCTTTTGTGACCGTATGACAAGCAAGTGAAATGGGGAAGCCAGATTCACTTGACAACTATGATACTAACTTCAATGATTCACTTAATAACTGTGGCAAGGAAGGTCATAAAATGGGGGAAAATTCACGTAACAACTGTCACTCATAACAACATAAATTTTGGTCTCAATTGTGGTCATAACTGTGGTTAGAATTTTGCACCTGTTGGAAAGCAAGCCGATTCATTCGCCACTCAGCTTCACTCTAGTTGAAATAGCTAGATTTGGCAGGTAGGGGTTTACATGCAAAGCCTTATGTACTATAGGATTTTTAAATTCAAATAACGGTGCTTGGATAAGGAGTAAGGTTGGTAAGTTGTACTTTATATTTGGGAGTTGAAGTCCACATATTTTAAAGATGCCAAGATTAAGAAACATTGTTCTGACCAAATATTTTATATTTGCTTCCACAAGGATCAAGACCACTGAGGAACTAAAGGATCTGATTCTAAAGATGCTGGAAAAGAACCCTGAATTAAGGATAACTGTTCCTGAAATTAAAGTAAGCAATTATGAACTTTAGTGGATTGTTGAAATGTTGCTTTTTCTGAGCTGTTCCATATCACAGTAATTGAATAGATGGGTTAGATTTTATTTAGTATTTTTATCAGTTATGTGCTACTACACTAGCTTTCCCCAACTGGGTGTCTTCAAGATGTGCTAGCCTGGCTGAGGAATTCTGGGAATTGAAGTCCACAAGTCATAAAAGGACCAAGTTTGAAGACCCCTGGGCTAGCCTATAATTTCCTAAGTTACAATAACTTCCAGAATTTCCAGCCACTGAGAATTTTAGGACCTGTAGTTCAATACATCTAGAGAATATTGGGGAACAGCATATTAAACTTTGAAAGGGTTTATATAGTAACTCTGCATGTCTTTGTGCTGCAAAAAGCAATGGCACATAGCATCCACATACAAGTAATCCTCGACTTAAGACAACAATTGAGCCCTAAATTTCTGGGGCTAAGCAAGAGTTAAGTGAGTTTTGCCCCATTTTATGACCTTTCTTGCCACAATTATTAAATGAATTTGTGCAGTTGTTTAGTAACATGGTTGTGAACTGAATCTGGCCTCCTCCTTGACTTGGCTTGTCAGAAGGTTGCAAAAGGTTGTGATCACACAACCCTGGGACACTGCAACCGTCATAAATTTGAACCAGTTATCAAAAATCTGAATTTTGATCACGTGGGGGATGCTGCAACGGTCCTAAGTTTGAAAAATGGTCATTAGTCACTTTTTTCTTTTTTTTCTTTTTTTTTAAAAAAATTATTAAATACAAAAGGAAAAAAAGTTAAAAAACATTGAACATAGTTGGCGACAACTTATAAGGAAAATCTTTATAAGATGCTTTATAGATGGCATCTACCACCGGCTAGACTCGCAAAAATGTATAGTGGTTACTCACCACTCTGCTGGAAGTGCAAAAGGGAAAAGGGTACTTTTTTCCACGTTTGGTGGGCTTGTAAAGAAGTACAGGTTTATTGGCTTAGGGCTTGGAAATGGATAACAGAAATGACGGGTCAAAAAATCCAATATAAACCAGAAATGCTACTATTAGGAATATTAGAAAAAAATATAAAATATAAAAAAATATAAATATAAAAGATGATATATATTTAATTATACATGTGATAACGGCGGCAAGAATTTTGTTTGTCCAAAATTGGAAAGTAACTGAAATGCCTAGCAGAGACGCGCTAATAAGAAAAATTTTGTATTGCTCAGAATTGGATAAGATGTCTAAAGAATTAAAAAACCAGGAGGAAACAGAATACTACCTAATTTGGAATAAATTTTACAAATGGAGGGAAAGAAGAAGGAAGTCGATAGAAGGGATATAAATAGAGGAAGATTATCAGAAATGTATAGCTGCATATAAATATATAACATTTATTCTTATATGTACAGTATGGAATGATTAGACAAAGATATATGTCAAGAATAAGTCACTTTTTTCAATGCCATTGTAACTTCGAACAGTCACTAAATGAATGATTGTAAGTTGAGGACTGCCTGTATTGCAGATCAGCACAATTCAGTCCTAGAAACCATGCTCTCCTCTGATTGCTTAGGATCAGCTTTCAAAATGGATTGAGCTTTAACAAAAGATAATTTGTACATGGAAATGAAGTCTTTAGAAATTCAGACCATCTTGCTAAGAGTAATTGTTACTGAACTGCTAACTTGAAATAATCATCCCATCAAATAAAAAAAAGAAGGATCTGGATTCTGCTTGGTAATGTTTTTCATAGTTTAGCTGGTTAGAGACCAATAATGTCATAATCTTAAAACTTGAAAGCTTTGCTACCTAAGCCATTTGCTAGAACAGGAAGAGTGACAATTGCCATCTTACATTAACAGATGATTTTATAGCTTCTTTTTTAAAAAAAAAAAATCTAAGAATTGCCATCTCTTCTTTTTCCACTCTGTTCTTTCAGATAAAATTCAGTTAAATGGGTTCCCATGAGTAAGACATAATAAAGCTCAGCCATTAATTTATTGTATGACTTTTGACAAGCCTGTCTTTTGTAGATTCTGCTCTGCCCCCCCTTGGAGGTCATAATTTTGGGTTGTTTAACAGCAGCTTTTTCAAAGAGTGGACTATGATCCCAGAGAGATCATATAGCAACAAATGGAAGTTTGCAAGAGAGGTGTCCCTGGCTGATTCTTTCCAAGCCTGATGCAAAAGTATGCAAATATAAAACAGCATGACAATTTCAGAACTGTTGCTGAAGTTTTGTTTTGATTTGCTGTAGGTTTTTACAGCCAATATCTATTGGGAAGTACTGGGCTTCAGGGTTAAGTGATATCAGATTTCCCGAAATTTCAGACCACTGTGGCTGACATCTTCAGAGGCAAGGTGGTTTGCTTTCTTGTTTACTTTGTTGCCTTGCCTGGAAGGTTTTTATGTTCTTTTTAACCACGGCTGTTATTTCTTAGGATCATAACCAAATACAAGCTGGCTCCTTTCATTAATTCTGCACAAAGAAAGAATAATCTGACAGAGAGCTGATAAGGCAGGGGTCCCCCACTCCTGGGCCCTGGCCCACTAGCAGGCCACAGCCTGTTTGAAACTAGGCCACGGTTAAAATGGGCAAGCACATCCATGTGAAGCTCCACTCAAGCAAGCAGGCAGGCAGGCAGGCACACACACACACATGCCTCCATTCATTTAGGCGTGGGGGGGGGCACTTGCGCTGCTTTGTGAAGCTCCATTCACACAAGTGGAGCTTCGCGTGCAAGTGCCTGCCACTTGTGTGAGTGGAACTTTGTACACAAGCACCCTCCTCTCACACACAAAGCTCCACTTGTGTGAGCAGACAGCTTGTGCAGACATTCAGCTGCCACTCACACTCCCAGGACTGCTGTGATATAAGGCATCATGCACTCTGGTTATGTTTCTTTGCAGGAACACCCTTGGGTCACCAAGTATGGCAAGCATCCTCTTCCTTTAGAGGAGGACCATTGCACCATAGTAGAAGTAACTGAAGAGGAAGTGAAGAACTCAGTCAAGACAATTCCTAGTTTACCTGCTGTGGTAAGTATTAAAAGTTGCTCTTCTCCCTCTTTGTTTTTGTAGTTGATGGAGTGCTGCACAGAGCTCGGTGGGTTATTTTATTTTCTTTTTGTTCAAAGTTAATTTGGAATATGTCATACTTATGGCACTGCAGAAGATATCTGAAGCCCGTTTTCCTGTAGCACAAGCAACTGGAGGTAGAACCAGAAGCATTTAGTGTAAGAGGAGGCTGGGCAGATGGTTTGATCTGAAATGAAAACGCGTGGATTTAAGCAGGGATAAGGAAGTGAACAAGTATCACAGTGGGTAGAATAATCATGTTGCAAATAAGCCAGGCCTATCTGTCTTTATAGGTTGTCCTCAACTTACAAGCACAAATGAGCCCAAAATTTCCATTACTATGTAAAACAGTTGTTAAGTGAGTTTTGTCCTATTTTATGACTTTTCTTCCCACAATTGTTAATGAATCACTGCAATTGTTAAGTTAGTCACATGGCTATTAAGTGAATTTGGCTTTCCCATTGACTTTGCTTGTCAGAAGGTCGCAAAAGCTGTTCACATGATCCCAGGATACTGCAACCGTCATAAATGTGAGTCAATTGCCAAGCGTCTGAATTTTGATCACATGACCATGAGGTTGCTGCAACAGTCGTAACTGAAAAATGGTCATAAATCACTTTTTTCAGTGTCGTAACTTTGATCACGAAACAAACTGTTGTAAGTCGAGGACTACCTGTATTCAGAATCTCTGAATTAATACACATTTTTGTTTGTGATTCTGAGTAGCCATTAGAAATCAATACCCTTCCTATATCTATTGAGCAGAGGTTTTCATTCAAACCACAAATGACCAAGCTATGTACCACTCAAACCAGTAACGCTCTTTCTGCAAATATCTTCAGACAGAGAGCAGACAAATCGTGCTTCAGCTGAATGAGATAAACCTGAAATGTTGGTGACCTTGAAAGTTACCTTGTTTGCCTTTATAATGTAGCTGGTTCTCCCTGATACCTACAAACCAAGCCTTGTTTTTAATGTGAAATCGAAGGAGCAGTTACAAGTTTCATTTTGAGTAATTTGAAGCAATTTGAAAACAACTTTGAAGTACTAAAAATCTAGGCTCCCAAAAGCTATCTAAAATGATTGAGAATTACATCATTTTTTCAACTGCATCACTTCTGTACTTCTGATTCTTCTCTTTCTCCATACGCCCAAGATTTTAGTGAAGGCCATGCTGAGGAAACGGTCATTTGCCAACCCATATGAGACCCAAACGAGGCGAGAGGAAAGATCTATGTCAGCTCCAGGAGACTTATTAATGTATGTGATTTTATACCCATACTTAATACTTGCATTTTCAAGTTAGTCATGTCAATTTCTTTCGTGTTCATAGCACAATTTATTAGCATTTGCAAATAAAGTTAAATTTGTGCTGAAACCATACCAAATGATCAGCCACTGCATAACTAGCACAAATGATGTTGTGGTAATGAAACATCTGCAAGAAAACAACCAAGTTCAGAGAGCACCAAGACCCCATAGTTGAACCTCAAACTTGAAATATTCTCTTCTATCAGAACTACATATTAATATAGTGGAAAATAGCAATCTTCTGTTTAAAATAATGACTCATACTTCTAGAAAAGCAGACAGCCCTAACATTATATAACATTCTTTAGAAATGAAAAAGGAAATATTAGAGTTTGCTGCCATTCAGAACAAATCCTGTCCATGTGCCCTACCAACTTTTAATTAATTTTGTTGACCACCTTTCAGTAAAAAAAAGTAAAGATGCAACCTGACAATTTAATTTATGGTAAATATTTTTGGATGCATGCTGGAAATAGAGCTATGATAAAACCCATCTTTGCAGCCAAGCCATTATTTAGCAATTTGTTCAAGGATAAAAACAAAACAAAATCCTCAAAACAAGCTTCATATATCCTATATTCAGGATTTATTTATTGTATTTATTTTAAAAAATGGTTGAAATGAAAGAGATCTTTGTGTACTAAAATGACTGTTACGTGGTGAGGAAGCACAGATGTGCTTTTTGCTGCTCTAGAGCAGTGTTTGGCATTTTAAGGCATTGTGGACTTCAATTTCCAAAATTCCTCAGCCAACATGTCCATACATCCACATGTCTTGCCAAGTTTGAGAAATGCTTGTCTGCAGACCAGGGTAAGAAGCCTGGCTAGAGAAGCTAAACATCCAGGAACCGTCTAAAACAGGGGTCTTCAAACTTGGCCCTTTTATGACTTGTGGACTTCAACTCCCAGAATTCCTCAGCCAGCATGCCTGGCTGAGGAATTCTGGGAGATGAAGTCCACAAGTCATAAAAGGGCCAAATTTGAAGACCCCTGGTCTCAAAAGAAAGATTTGTTTGAAACTGGAAGAGATTTTTCAAAGAATAGTTGTCATTATTGTATTATACAGTTGCTTACAAACACTGTTGACATACGAGGTCTGAAATTATAGCCCAAGACCTGTTTCTGCTGCTCCATGTTTATAATTTAAATTTTGGTGGTCAGGAAAAAAAGTGAGTAAAGAAAACCAAGAATAATAAAAGGATAAAAACAAGTAGCCTAGTTTATTTAATTAGATTTCATTCTGGCAGCAAACATGATTTAAAAAGGGATTAAACCAGAGGTTCCTGTGGCTTCTGGTTTGATAAAAAAGAGCAAAATGTGGAAGTGAGATGTGGATTTCCAAGCAGTATTAAGAGCTGAGCAAAAAAGTCTCAAGGAAGAATGAAGAGAAAACAGGCAAGTATTTTTCTTGGAGTTATAAGCATAAGTAGTATCCAAGAAGACCTCCTCAAATCTGTTTTAAAGGTGCATCATCCTAAGTTTTACGGTAAGAGGGCAGCAATATAAATAAGATCAGTGGATTCAGTAATGACAGAATTTTTAAAATGAATGGATCTGTGGCATTCTGGGAAAGAATTAAAGGCCTCCAAAGTATTCAAGAAGAAAGGACAACTTTCTTGGGACTACAGTAGAAGGTCTGCAGAGGGATGACAGCTTTGAGGAACCATTATAGCGATAAATTTACAGCTTTATTGTTCTGCCCAAACATTCAAAGCAGACCCAGCTGAATTTGCCATGTGTTCCCCTTTAATAGGTAGAATTCTAGTAATGTGAGTAATATGAACTAAAGTTTTTTGGTTTTCAAATCCCCAGTTGAACTCTCCTTTCTCCCCCCTTGAAGAGGCTTTGAAATATGTGAAAATTAACATTTGTTGCTAGTTGGAAGATGGATGATAGCTTTCATGTTCCTCTAACAGGAAATGAAGAGAAGAAGTAATTAGAAAAGCTTTCCAATTTTCACAATTTGTTTAATTAGCATGAAAAAAATATTCCTTTCTCCTCTCCTTAGAATTGCTTAAAGCAGTCTTTCCAGATGTATTGGATTTTAATTCATACAATCCCCTGTCAGAATTATCACTGATGTAAAAAGTCTGTGCCTTAGGCTTAATGCTACTTTAAATTTTGCATTAAGTGTTTAGCCAACTGAGGTTATATTCTTTGATACAAGTGACAAATCAGAATTTCCCTGAAAACCAATACCTTGTTTTCAAGATATAAAAGCAATTTAAAATCATATTCCTTGGAGAAGAAATCAAAGAGGAGATAAGTTTTCTGTTCTGATTGATGTACTTAGCCAACTTCCTCTGTGATTCGGTTTCCTCACAAGCAGGTTCTATGGTATATGTGGATCTTAGATGTGCTAGAACCCTTTTGAATATATTCAAAAGGGTCTAGTACAGTGTTTCTCAACCTTGACAATTTTAAGGCATGTGGACTTCAACTCCCAGAATTCCACAGCCAGCATTGCTGGCTGTGGAATTCTGGGAGCTGAAGTCCACATGCCCTTAAAATTGTCAAGGTTGAGAAACACTGATCTAGTACATCTAGGATCCACATATTTTATGAAGACTAATCTCCATTGTAAGTAGGATTTCTCTTTTAGATTCCCAACCATGCCAAATTAACAATGAATGGAATTTGCAGCCCTCCGATGTTGCTGAACTACAGTTCCAAGCAGACTCATTCAGCTTTATCAATGATGAGAAGTGCTGGGAATTGTAGTTTAGCAGCATCTGGAGTTTTATATATTTCCTACCTAAATGGCTTGATATTTTGTAATAACCAGCCTAATTGTTACTGCTTCAGTAGATCATGGTTTAAATAATACTGGCTCATCTTGATAAGAAATGAAACTATAGCCACTATAATGAATAAGACCTCCAAAACGTGCAGGATTCTAAGTAATGGTTAAGGTGTTAGTCTGAGAACATGAAAAGTCATTTTCTAATCCACCTTCAGCCATGAAAGCTTTGGGCCTTCCACTTTCAACCCAGCCTACCTTAGAATGTGATTTTTGTGGAAAAAATAGGAGTAATATACAGTACTTTGAGTGTCTGAAAGAAAGAGGGAATATAAATCAATCAAGCCGGTGAATAAAATAAATCAACCTCTGCCAGTGGCAAACAGCAAATTTCATGAATTAATTTTGCCTCTTTGAGGGAATTATTATTTTGTCTTCCCATTACTCCAAAATGCTATCTAAATTCTAAAGTTGCTTTCTTCAAAAGGCAACTGGGCTTTGTTTTTTCCTTGAAGACATTTTGTTTCTCATCCAAGAAGCTTTCTCGGTTCTGACTGAATGGTGGGGAATGGAAAGATTTATAAACAATTCTCCACCATTCAGTCAGAACTGAAGAAGTTTCTTGGATGAGAAACTAAACATCTTCAAGGAAAAACAAAGTCCAGCTGCCTTTTGAAAAAGCACCTTTGGGATAGCTATGACCTGAATGACTGAGAATATCCATAGACATTTATTTAAACTCTGTCCCTCATTCCCATGAAAATAGTTTGTTGTTTTGTTTTGTTTTGTTTGGCTCTGCTGCATTTTGACATCCAGATTTCTCGCATGCAGTCTCATTATTTGATTGTTTTATCCCCTTCTCTTTCATTTTGCTCTTTGCTTCCAGGCACGGTTTTCAGTTAAGCCCCTCTGTGTATTTGCATCCAGCTTTAAGGTAACTTGATGTCTGTGTTCCTCCCATTGTGCAATGAAATCCTTTATTTCCCCCACCCCATCCCCCCAGTGAATTTGTGGTGCTGTATGTGTTATACCATGTTACTTAGTTCTAGAGCCAAGTGAGCATGTCCTCTCCCATGTGGCTTTTAATGGGCATTCACAAGAGTTCTCCGTTGTCATTTTTCTTTTCATTGTCGCTTTTCATTCCTTCTTTCTTACAAAAAAACCCCGCTTTGGTGCCATTGATCAGTGGGATTTGCAATTTTATTCCTATTGCCTAAAAGCAGTGTTTCTCAACCTTGATATCCTTAAGATGGACTTGATGTGGACTTCAGCTTCCAGAATTTCCCCAACAGCACTCTGGGAGTTGAAGTCCACATATCGTAAAATTGTCAAGGTTGAGAAACACTGCTCCAGAGCTAGACAGGAGGGAACAGCAATGGTGCCATAGAGCTTATTCTATCAAGAATAGCACACAATGAAGGGGACGTCATGGGTGTTTAAAAATACCTTCTTTTGGACAAGCTGTCAAGACTGGCTTTAAAAGAAGCGTAAGAAGGCAGAATGAGGTCTTTGAATAGGGTCAACCACAGTTGCCACCTAGACAACAACAGTGAACAGCTCATGGTCCCTCCTTGCTCATAGAACCATGGGGCTGGAAGAAACCTTGGAGGTCTTCTAGTCCAACCTGCTGCCCCAGACTGGAATCCTTATATCATCCTAGACAAATGAGTATCCATTTTTTCTTGAAAACCTCCAGCGATGGGTCACCTACAACTCTGGGAGGCAAGCTGTCCCATTATTAGTTGGTCTCAGTCAGGAAATTTCTCTTTAGTTCCAGGTAGGATCTCTCTTTTAATGAGTGTCCACTTGCTTCTTATCCTGTCCTTAGATGCTTTGGAGAATAAGTCAACCCTCTCTTCTCCTGACTGTCCCTCAAGTACGGAAAGACAGCTATCATGTCACGCCTAATCCTTCTCTTCATTGGGCTAGACATACCTAGTTTCCTTAACCTTTCACCATATGGTTTAATCTCCAGACCTCTTATCATCTTTCTTCTCTGCTCACTTTCTAGGGTTTCAGCATCTTTTTTGAATTGTGACAACCAGAACTTTTTTTGCCTATTTTGATCTGTTTTTCTTTCTGTCTCCCACAGTGCTGCTTTTGATAAGTTGGACTATTTTTTTCTTTTTGCGTGAAGACATACGCAAAGAAGGAATTAAACAATTCTGCTTTCTCCCTGCTACCCACCATCATCTTGCCATCTTCTCCCATTAGTGGACCTATCATTTCCTTGACTTTCTTATTATTCCTTACTGATTGAAAGAACCTTTTTCTGTTATTCTTGCAGATTTGAGCTCTTTGCTGATATTTTGTTCTAGTTATGAGCCCCTCTTTCCTTTTTTTTATACTTGTCATTTTTGTCTCTCAGTTTGTCAGAGAACTCTTGATGCAACTCTGCTGGTTTTATCTGAGGTCTGTTTTTTTTCTCCTTTCTCTGTGGTATTGTGTTTGATCGAGGTTTAATAATCTCATTTTCATAGTTTTCCAAGCATCTTAAGTTGTTTTTCCCTCTAGGATTTCCATCCATGGAATCCTTCCTAATTTCTTTCTTAGTTTGTTGAGGTTATGTTGAATTCTAGTACGACATGGTCACTCTAGGTCCCTTTTTGCTGTGCTCATTTGAGACGTTTTTCATTTCAGCTGAAATAATCATGATTACTTGCGTCTCTACACTTATCACTTGCAAAGTTATTGCAAAGTGACATCTGTTTACATATGCATATTTTATGCAAACTGGCAGCAGCTGATTTTTTTAGGCAGTGATATGCTTTTCTACCTGAGATAAGAAGACAACTCTGTTCCACATATCTCTTGGATTATGCAAGCAGACCAAACCATCTGTTCAAAATGATGCCCTGGAAACACTAAAAATCTTCTAACTATTGTGGTGGTATCCCTAACCCTCTGTCTACATGTGAGCTGCATTCCCTATCAAACCTATTAAGAACCAACCACCCAATACATGTGAACTGCTTAAAGTGTCTTAAAAATCATTTACAGCAAGCTGATCCTGAGTGATGACAGGGGGGAGATGTGTGGCCCAGTAAACCAAGTTGTTTCTATTCCATGGCTTTCTCTCAAAGGTAGTATGGCTAGCATGCACACATAGTAAGACGGGATACATATAAGAAGGTCATCCAGATGAGTTAATCAGAACAATTGCAACATCATGTTCTAATTTACACTGTGCCTACCTTTTTTTTTGTCTTGCCTTTGCAATGTAGTAGCCAAGGGTAAATAAGCTGTGGCTCTGTTTTTTCTTAGGGCTGCCCAACAAGTTGCCAATGCTTTGCTGGGATTGGTATCTATTATTATATGCATGATAATACATTTTGCATATTAACAAATCTTAAGCAAACCTAAAAACCCAGGAGCCCAGGAAGAAAAATACAGGAAAGATCTGCTTAGGAGCCCTGATGGTGCAGTGGTTAGAATGCAGTATTGCTAACTCTGCCCACAGCCTGGATTTCAATCCTGACTGGCTCAAGGTTGACTCTGCCTTCCATCCTTCTGAGGTCGGTAAAATGAGGACCCAGATTGTTGGGGGCAATGTGTTGACATTGTAAAACGCCCAGAGAGTAAAGCACTATGGGGCACTAAGTGCTCTTTCTATCTACAACATACAGTGTAAGGACTGTAACAGCCACTATATAGGACAGATAGGCAAGACTATGAGAGTGCATCTATGAACATCAATCAGCAGTCAGAAGACAATGAAAACTCCTTAGTCTCACAACACATGGAAGCTATAATTAGCCCTAAAACCCTATTTTAAACTCTCAAAAACTAGCAAGCTGAAGAGGTGATGGAGGGGGCAATCCATCCTGGAATGTTGCCTGTTAATACTCTGTCTCACAGGTTGCTTGGCTGATATACAATTAGATAACACTTTTCTGTTCTTCCTGCCCGAGTCTGTACATCATGTAGGAAAGTTGATAGTCCCTGCATTTGCTTGTGTCAGCCACTGTTTCATCATTCTTTAACTGCACAAGAGCACCTTCAGAGCTTGTCAGCCATCTGGTGCAAAGGCTGGATTTATCACTGTGGCTGGGGAGAGTGTTTAATAAGAAGCAGTTCTTTCTTTGTATGTTTCCTATCAATATGTGAAGAGCTGTGCAGGAAGAAAAGGCCCAATTAGTCCAACAACCCGGAAGCCCAGAAAGATGAAAATAAAAACCCTTGTATGCCATAGCTTTTCCAAGATAAACTTTAATGGATCCCTTGCCATAGTTATATTCCATTCTCCTTTTAAAACCATTGACGGCATTGAGGTGTGAACATACCACTAAGTCTATCGAGCTCACTATTTTAATTCTGGCTGTGTTCTCACAACACACTTTATCTGGTCAGATAAAAATTGAGCAGCTGCATTTTCACAATGTTGCTGAATGTAGCTGGCATTAGTCATTATTAATTTTGTTTGTGTGCGTGGCTTGCTGTGTTGTGTGAATCCAAATCAGTTGACAGCTTTGTGGTTCAGCACATTGTGTGAGTCCCAAAAAATAAATTATTTTGGTAACTGAATTAAATGTGTTATATAAATACAGCAGGTAGTGACTGACTCCTCAGATTTTTTGGCACCACTGTTTTTCCTATACTCAGAGATGTCTGGGACTGAACATTAAGCCGGCTGGATTCAAAGTGTATATGCCACTGTTGAGCACATTAATAAAGGATGATTCTAGTTCTCTTGGTTTCAAATAACATTCTTTTCTATTGAACGGCACTTGTCAATACATGCTTGTCCAAATGTCAATAGATGCTTCTCCAGTCTTTCTCTACTTTTATGATGTGTTGTTTTCAATTCTCACAATTCCTCAGCCAGCAATAATGTACGTGCATCTGCAGTTAATCTCTTGTATGAAGGCAAATCACTTACAACACAGATTGTTATACTGTACATTGCTTCTTGATCTTGTGATGAAATGTTCTTCCTCTTGATGATGTGTAGAAACCAAGGAAGCCGGGAAGGGCTTAAAGACCCAGAACTGCCCGATGTGAATGAAGATGACACGAGCTCTTGAAACTCCTCGAATCACGCTGACTGATCATTCAGCTAGAGCTGCTGCTGTAACTATTGTAATTGGTGGTGTCGTCTTGCACGCCATGCTGTTCTCATCAACCGGGGTTTGTGATCTATGGGAGAGAAAGAAGAAGACACAAGTACAACACTAAGGACTAAAAGAGCAAACACCAATCCAAGAAATGGTCCACCGAATAGCTAATTCTTCATACAACCTGCTGCCTGCATTTCTTTTCACGATGTAAGACATTTTGATGTTGTACACTTGATATGTGCCTCTTCCAGCTGTGTTTTATGTTTTGGTGTGTGGTATGTGTCAATTTTGCTGAATGTTCCCTGCTAGGAACTGCTCGGTTAAAACTTCTATTCCAACTCTAATTTTGGCATGAGCTGTTGAGCAATCAGATTGCAAGCCCAGTGTGTTATTCAACAATTAGAAACTTTGCACCTCTCTAACTGATGGGTCAGGGTTGCCATAACTTTGTCTTGTTTTGAAATGCAACAGCAATACAATAGCTCTGTGGTCACTTTGCTTCCGCATGGTTCTTAAGTTGTGCATGTCTGTATTTGTTAGAAAATGCCCAGTGAGATTGCTAAAAACTAGAAAGGCTTCTGGATTTCTCCTTTAGATATTTCCCCCAATTCTGAATTATCTGCTCATTTAGAGAAAGACGTTCCAAATTAAGAGAGCTAAGATGACAGTTTCCCCTTGTCTTCTGCCTTCCTTCCTTTTTGTGCATGGAAAAGGGCTAAAGCTCAGTGGGAGGGCATAGATTTTTGCATGCTTTTGGACCGATTCCTAGATCCATCTCCGTATGGAACTGGGAAGGCCTCTTCTGTGAAATGATGAATGCTGCTGCTGGCCAGAACTGACAGTACTGTGCCATATGATTCATGATTTGACTTCACAAAAGTTAGCATCATATGTTCATTCCAAATAATATTCAAATAAGCAATTCTGATGTTACATTAGTAATGACTCTGTCATGTGAGAATTTTGCCCCTAGAAGATAGTTCTGGATTCCGTGTTCTCATAGAAATGGGTGTGTTTGGAATTTTGAAAAGAAAAACTGCAAAATTTCCATTTTCAAATATGATATATTCTGGAGTTCTGGAGGTTGAGGAAAAGGGTGGTCTTTTTTCCCATTTTCTCTTACCTCCCTTCATCGCAACTCAAAGCTCTCATGACGGATTTCACTCGCTGTCCTGTCAGTAAACCTCACCTTGATCTTTTCTAGTTTAAATATTTAGAAGAAATTGCAGAAGGAAAATGGTGCATGGGCCCTTTCTTTTGTGGAATTGTTGATCAGCATGCAGGAGCCTTGTCATTACAATATACAAAAATCCCCTTGATTGACTCATACACATAATCAGGATCAAAATTAATGGGATGTAGATGGAGCTTTTCTAGTTGCACTAGTAGACATAATTAATTGTAGAGATGCTCACTAAACCAGATTCGCTCATTCCTGATTTGAAATAAACACACATGGATATCCAGTACATATAATATGCTATTGCAAAATGTCAAATTTAATCACTAGGATGCATTCTCAGAAGTTTGCCTATAGCTATGAATCTCAAGCAGAAAATACTTCCAAGGCCATCTTCATGACAGAGGGCCTGTCCTTTCAGCAGATAGATGCCTTTCTGCCTTGATTTGTATTTTTTCAAAGAATCTGTCACTGATTTCATACTGATCTGCTAATAGACACCCAAAAGTTCTGGGCAGGGATCAGAGCTAAATGTGGAAGAAAAAAAATCTTTTCCAAGTCCAAGAGACATTTACAGTATAGCAAACTTTTTTAGTTCCTGTCAGAATTTTAACTCCTGCAACAATTTTAGTCCATCACTTGATAAAGAGCACACTTTTCCACTATGCACTGTAAATCTATAAACACACTTATTGAGAATCAGACTCATTAGAACTATGAAGAATGCAGGGGGAATGAGAGATAAGGAATTTCATTCTCTACTGGTTATCAGGATATCCTCTCTGGGCTTTACACAAGCTGCACTGGTGTTGAAGTTCTCATTCTCACAAGAATAATCTGGGCTGCATTGGTACCAAGTTGATTGAGACTAAAAGGAATATTGTTGGGGCAGAATTAAAAATGATGACGCCACTGATTCTTCCACTTTTTCACATCTCCCCCCCCCACACACACAATCTCGTGTCTTACACCCTATTTTCTTCCTCCTTATACTGAAATGGGGAGGAATTTATTATCCATACTAACGTCCAAATTGACTGTTTGCAAAGAGAGTTTGAACTTCTAAACAAGGGCTTTATGAAATTATGACAAAGACTACATGTGACACAAGGGCTATTGGTTGCCCAGCCCATTCTACCAAATCTGGGATTGTCTTCTCAGAGGTGTTTAATCTGGTAACCAAGTTAATCCATTTTGGGGTTTGCACAGATAAAGGAATTATGAACTAACAGAACAAACTGAGTTCTATTAAAATTAAAAATTAAGCAAACTTAATTTGTGTGAATGCACCATTAGGCTTAATTAAGTAGGTTACACGTACATGTGAACAAGCCCAGTATTTTTTATGTTTTCCTCTACAAAGCAAGAAAAACATTAAAGGAGACCTTCCAAACAACTTCTGTTGCTTCGTTATAATTCTGCCAATCTAATCTCTCTTTGAAATTTACACTCAATATATCACAGCTTTTACAACAATAAACTTAAATCTTGAGCATATTTAGAATTGGCCACCAAACGGTAAGAAAATAATGGCAGAGACTTACAAAAAGGAGAGCAGATTCCGACCTATTTCTGAGTCATGTGCTTCGATATGTACAAATCCAGGTCATTTTGAAATAATCCTATTTTTGTATGACTGATGCCTTAAATTAAGGGATGGAAAGATGGACTTTATGCGTCTTGTCTTCATTTATAAATCTGTCCCATATTCTCATCAGCAAATTCAGAATTATTTATTTCATTATATTTAATAGTCTAAGGCATTATGATAGGCAATTGGGTCTGTGTACTTAGCTAAGAAAATTTGGAGATGTTTAACTGGCAACTATGGTTAATTTAGTAAAAAAAAAATGTAACTTAACAATGAGATCTTCAGGTGCCCCTGTAAAAAAAAAAATCACCTGTTCCCAAAATGTCTTTCATTTTTATGTAAATTTTATGAAGCAGTTGCTGTCCTTTCCCTCCGACATTAAAGTTGATTTCAACAATTATTCAAACTCATAACAAATCATTTGATTTTCTTCTGTTTCTCAATTTGCAAGCTATTGCAACATTGACTTTTAATTTTATTTAATCCTACTTTTTACTTGTACAGTACCTGTGTAACAGCCTTCCTGAGTTTGTTGTCTTCTAAATGTCTTCAACTTTCTAGAAGACCAGAAAGAACAAATGTTCTTGTTGTAACAGAGCACTTAGGAAACCACAAAACTGTCAGTTTGGTGCGTGTCATGGGCAAAGTCTTCGGCTGGTTATTTAACAGCATGTTTGTCAGCACTTGAATAAGAATGCCACAATTAACAGGATTTGGTATGGTTTGTAGTCAATCAATTCTGCCAAACTAAACTTACCTCTTTTTTTTAATCTAGTTACTAGTTTAGTAGATCAGAATACTGTAAACCAGTGTTTCTCATCCTCAGCAACTTTAAAATGTGTGGACTTCAACTCCCAGAATTCTTCAGAGTATATCCTGGTTGGAGAATTTTGGGAATTGAAGTTTACATGTCCTAAAATAGCAGAGGTTGAGAAACACTGTGTAGATCAGGGGGTCTTCAAACTTGGCCCTTTTATGACTTGTGGACTTCAACTCCCAGAATTCCTCAGCCAGTGTGCCTGGGAGTTGAAGTCCACAAGTCATAAAAGGGCCAAGTTTGAAGACCCCTGGTGTAGATATATGGTACCTGGAATTCAGCAAAGCTTTCTATACAGTCTCTCTTGATAATCTCTGTAATAAATGGTAACATACAGGCTGGATGATGCTACTGTTAGATGAACTCAAATTGGGTGAATGACCACATCCAAACACTGCTCATTAATAGCTCCATTTTAGCCTGGAAAGAGTCAAATGCCACACAACTGTGTCTAGGTCGTGGGTTCAGCACAGTTACCATAACATGATTGAAGGATTTGGAGGGACTTATCAAGCTTGCAGATAACACGTTGGGAGGGGAAGTTGTTACTTTACTGGTATTCCTCACTTAGCAACTGTAATTGGCACCGACAATTCCATTGCTAAGAATTGCGGTCATTAAACTGGCAATCATATGAGAGCAATAGACTTATGAGGTCACTTCCATTCTGTCATTAAACAAGTCACCTCAGTCATTCAAGAAACCATTGTGTGGCTGCTATTTGCAATTTTACTTCCTCGTCCTCCATTTAATTCTGTCGCAAGCGACTTTGGAAGCAGACAAATGGTGATCACATGACCACAGGAACCATGATCAAAATGCAAGGATTGGTCACAAAGCTGTGTTTTTTTAACACCATAGTAACTTTTAATGTTTACTAAACAAGGCGGTAAGCAAGGACTAAGAAAGAAGATTAAAGAAGAACTGGACAGGCTTGAAGAGATAGCTGAAATAAATAGAATGGAACTTGAGAGAAACGTAAAGTACTACATCTGGACAGGAAACATTAGGGCAAAATTTAGTCTGGGGGAGATCTGGCTTGGCAATAGTACAAGTGAATAAGATCTAGGTGTTCTTGTTGACCAGAAGCTAAATGTGAGCCAGGAATGTAATGTAGCAGTAAAAAGGCAAATGCTGTGTTGGGGTACTTTCACAGGAACACAGAGTCCAGTTAATGGGAAATAATACTTCCATTTATCTGCCATGGTCACATTCCATTTGGCATATCATGCCCATTTCTGGGCATCACAATTCAAAATAGACAGTGACAAATTAAGTTCAGTGGAGTGCTGCCAATATGATAAAGGGTTTAGAATCAAGCTCTCCGAGGAACAGCTAAAGAATCTGTTTGGCTTGCAAAAGAGACAACTGAAGGAAGATGGGACAGCAGTCCAACTATCTGAAAGGCTGATACATAAAAGAGGAAGTGGATTTATACCTTATAGACTGAGAGAGCAGGACTAGAACTAACAGCTGTCAAAAGGAACATCCTGGCTGTACTAATTATTGACCATTGGAAGAAGCTCCCATATGGTGGAGTTTTTCTTAGGAGATTTTTCAAACAGAGGCTAAATGGTCATCTGTGAGCTGGATCCCATGCTATACTGGACTAGATGAGCTTTCAGAGCTACATTTCCATAATTCCAAAATTTGTAGACATCATAGCCAATGTTGAAGTGTATATACTATAATTTGGAGGGTACTAAGCCGCTTATAGTAAGATATTTACTTATAAAAATGTATGTGCCGCCTATTCACTGGATTGTAGGTGACTTTGTGTATGTGTACCTACAAATTAGTCTTGGCTCCTGGTGACTACATTATCAAGTCTGTGCATTTTTCAATGTTTTCAGAAAAAGTTTGCCATTGCTTTCTTCCTAGGAGTGAGAAAGAGAGTGACTGGTCCAAAGTCACCTAGTTCACTTTGTGCCTAAGGCAGGACTAGAACTCACAGTCTCCCTGAAGATCTCATGAAAGACTGATATTGGGGAGGGTAGAATACCACAAAAATAATGGTGTTGCAATTAATAAGGCCATTCTGGGGGCCCTGCCTTCTTGGTCTCTCAAAGAGAGGATACCTCTAGCGCTCTCCTTTCAGTTAGACTGTATTGGATAGACTCCCCCTGGTACAGGTGATCCTGAAGGTAATAAAGGTCCAAACCATATAATTAGTCATTAACTCTTTGAACTGAGCCCACAAGCAGACTGGCAAGCAATGTGGCGCCCTCAAACTATGGTATTTATCCTGTTACACTGGTTGGTATCAGTCTGTTGGTGGGAGGCTTCTGAATTATCTTTAAAGGCGACTCTTTGAAGAGTGAATTTCAGTAGTTTGAGTGTGGGATGATACAGACTTGACTCATTGTTTTCAGTACCAGGAAAAGTCCCAACTACAAAACAGATAAACTTGACCAAAGGCCATCCTGGTCAATGTCTTTACAGGAGCCACAAATTCAAAAATTCCTAAATTTTGTATCTATCCTTTGAAAAACAATTAATGGAGCATCCATGGATTCAGAAATCATAACAGTAACTCTACTTGGCTCAGGTTATATTTGAATCTGTTTCCCCCCCCCATTCAAACCCTCACAGCTTTTAACACTGGATCTGGAGGGGGTTACATTTGCCATCTCAGGAGAACTTGCCCATCCAACTCAAAGTTACTATGAGCAATTTTGCCTGCAAAATGTCTGGCAATTTGTCCACAATAGCTAGTGGGAGGACTTTCAAGGCCTACAGCCCCTAAAAAGAGTGAGTTATGCTAAACAATGCTGGCACTACACAGTACATGAAAATAGCAACACTTCACCATGGTTACTGATACAAGCAAGCTCAAACAAGAGCTCATACTTGCATTCAGGTCATCCTCATTTCTTGTCTTCCACTAGCATCACCGAAATTACTTTATCCCCTAGGGCACTTTGTTTTCCACTGCTCCTCATGGAGCCCATGAGCACCCTGGACTAATACCCTTGGAGAAACTACCTTGGAGTAGTCTACCAAGCATCTTTGCTGTCTGTGCATTCTAGAGCTCATCTAGGCATACCAACACCCCAATGCTGTCAATCACTGGGAAATCTAGGTGCCCCCAGTCAGTTAGATCTATACGGTACCTAGGACAGATCATCTTAACAGCTTATTTTCATTATGGAGATGTAGGAAAAGAGGGAGAACCTGAGGATGGAGTCAAGATAGGAATCAGTCTAGAGTTATGTTCCAACACACCCAACCATTGAATTCTGTTAGCTCTTATCTAGTACCAGTTTAGTGCTGATCTTAGCTGACTAGATTCTTGTGAATAAGTAGAAACATTAAATCTTAACTATAACTTAACATGTGGTCCTGGTACTTTGCACCTGATAGGAGATCAGCAGTGACCACAAGGAGACCAGATGGAGAGCTAACTTCAACAGTAGACTGATGATAATATTCTCCACCCTCAAGTCCATCCTAATGCAGCTCTCTTCTGCATTAAAAGCTACCTGGAATCAGAAGGTTGAGATGGATAGTCATATAAATTCAATGAATGAATGAATGAATGAATGAATGAATGAATGAATGAATGTTCTGAAGTAAAAGACTAGATCCAGTGTTTAGCCTGGATGGATATCATAGTTGTCAGATGGCTGTGAATTCCTGAGACACCATACTCCCAAACATGGAGATTGAAATCCCCCAGGAAGCAAAACCTGCGGGAGTCTGTCACCAGCCCAGCAATTATCCCAAGAGTTGGGAAACTGTTTGATGGGCAGTGAGAACACAGTAATCCAACAATACCTCCAAGATTGAACTGGCATCCAACTTCATGTCAAGACATCATACTAGTCACCATGGAACAACAACAGATATGGCCATCATCAATTTTTATCTAGAATTTATTTCCATAGCTGCTTCTTTGTACAAGCACCATCTGATGTCAGCTGGTAAATTCCAGACAGAAATAATCCTCCATCTTTATCTCCAAGAGATCCTCTGGCACCAAGCCATGGAAGAGGAGAGTCTTATGGCTAAACTTGGTATTCCAAAGAATCAGCCTGGGTACAGGTCCTCCAGAATTCTTCAGTAGAGTTCAGTGTCAGAAGTGGGATAGAAACTATATTTCATCTGTTCTTTCCTCTGTCATAGGTCACTCTCACTTTCTGCTATACCTGCTCATCGTCCCATTACTTCTCAACTTCCCATTAGTCCCACAACCTTCCTCATCAGAATTGCTTTTCTTCTGCATTCTAAAAGCCTTCCCTGTAATGTCCTAGGATACCACCCAATGCTTAGCTAGGACTCCCAGAATACTAGCTTCCATTTCAATCCCTGCTGTGCTTCCCATCCCAGGTACATAATAGGACCCTAACTTGGTCCCAAATTCCCCCAAATCCTTCACTCTTGGGAATAAGATCCCATGTTCTTTAGGCTCCTGAGAAAGCCCCCCTTTTTACACAAGGCTGTTCCTTCCTCCAATGCCAAGAGAGGATTGTTTACATGCCACACCTTTTTTCTTCTTCTTCCCTCCTTCTAGCACAGTGGTTCTCAACCTTTTTAATGCCGCGACCCCCAACCGGCCGTAAGTTGAGGACTACTCAACCGGTCGTAAGTCGA